GGAGAGGCAGACAAAGGGAGGAATTGCTCTGAGCACCCTCTCGTGGTTACTGAAACACACGTCTCAGGCACAGACCTGGAAAGAAGCATTTGGCATCCAGACGGTAAGTTGGGTGTACTCACTGGGAATACTAAAGACCTGCAGCAACTGTACTCAATACGCAGATGAACGATGGAATTTGTTAGGGTGAAAGAAGTGAAGGAAACCAGTGCATACAGAAAGCTGAAAAGCCATACAAACTTCCTTCCAAGAGGGAAAATTTTTTAATCTCGCAGGCTAATGCCAGGCTGGCCAAAAGTGCTCGCACTTGCATGCAGGGGTCTCTCCCTTTGAACAGGCAAGACAAGATGAGAAGTGCTGAAGTCTCCAAAGCACTACTCCTTTCCACAGACAGGTAATTTTTTTTTTTTTGCCCAAGGTCACACAATGACAGCAGTAGCACTGGGAAGAGAAGCCAGGAAACCCAAGCTTACAGTTCTTGCAACCTTCAAAATTTCTCTCTAGCAGGAGATTCCTGCAAGGGGGCTCTGCCTTCCATAGCTCATTTTTCCTAAAATGGCTACTGCCTGTAATGAGATCCTTTTAAATCTGATTTGCATTTAAAACTTCAGCCTGTAATTAACAGAATATAACTCCATGGCAGGTTGTCTTAAAGACCACTACGAAATTATTACTATTTAACTCTCCCCATGAAGCCTCCTCCACCACTAAACACAACATGCTACAATGCATACGAAATCCCAGACTGAAGCGTTTGACAGGAGATGACATGCAGTATTTTGTGTACACAGCCCAGCAAAACACTGCTGGGAACAAGATATAATACATGGAGAAATACACTCCCAGGGACTACCAATTGGGCAGAGCTACCTTTAGTACCGCCTCGCTCGTCATGGTGGAAATCAAACCCCTGCCAACTGGGGGAGGCTTTCTTTAATGCTGTTCTGCCCTGCACTAATTATAAAAGAGTACAGACGCAGCCTTTTTTCTAAGTGTGGGGGTGGGGGAGAAGCTTGTGTCTATGTGAAGAGCACAACTATTTTTTATGCTTTCAAATTCTTAATCCTGTTTGGAGCTGTCAGTGGGGGTTAATGGAAGCCTTGGATAGGAGAATTCCAATCTGGTTGGCAGATGGATAGGTTGGTTATAGCTGCATAACTATGTCTTGCCTGCAGGCACAATTCAGAACACTGTTAAAGCAATATAAAGTCTCTGTCAAGCTGAACCATTTGGATCAGTAGCAAGGAGAAATAATAATAAAAAAGGAGTTCATTTCTGGGCCTTGCGCATTTATGCTAGTATGCAGAAACTGATTAATTGTCATCGTGTGCTGGTCTGCTATACCTCGGATTTCTACTTCTGGAGTAGATTTTGCATGCTAATATAATCATTCTCCCTCTTGAGACATTAGCAAATAATCAAATGAAAAACAGGATCATAATTTACTGAGATTCGGGCAATTCTCTATGCAAATTTGACTTGTTATTGCTGCTGCCTCGTTAATCTGAATGCCTTTGACAAACTCCTTTGATTTATGAACTCATGACAACTCCAATGTGTATATATTTTGCTAGATTGACATTATCATTAAGAGTGGGTGGACTGAGCTCACATGAATGGCTGATTTTATTCGCTGGTGTCTGCTGCTCAACAGCTGAGCATCTCCTTCTCACAAAGCCCCTGAGCGCCAGGCTCTTCCCATCTACCCATCCATTCATCATCTCGATGTTAATTGGCCCAGGCTTTAAGCAAATTTTCAACACGATTTAAAGGCACGATGACACTGATTACTGACCCTCTGCCATACGGTGCCTATTGATTAACCTGACAGAGATGATGAGCTGGAGGGAAACTAGGTGTGTGTGGACCTCAGGGAAGAGAAAAAAAAAATAATATATTGTTTATGCAGGCAAAACACTTGTCTTTATCCCAAAGGCCAGAATTTGTGCTGCACTGGCCCTTAAAACACACTATTGCTTTAAACACCTGCATCCAATACAGAAAACGCTTGCTTGCTTGCTGTGGAAAAATGATTACAAATTTGATGTCATGTGCAGTCTGTATTTTAATCGAGTTCCCTGATAAATAGACCCCCTCAAGCCAATCAAGTCTCGTCCAGCCACTGCATGCGTATACATCAGTTCGAACAGAAGCCTGGGCAGGGTGTGCTTTTAGTGGTATCAGCAGATCCCACTGAATGTAGGAAATCTACTTGGGTATTTTAGGTCTCTAA